AAAAAAAAAAAAACTTGTAAAAGAAAATTCAGAAGGGCAAGGACAGAAGTAAATCACTCATTCAGGACTCACAACTCCTCTACAGGAGCCAGGCAAATTATATAAATATCTCAGATTTAAAGAAAAGTACTGAGGAGCACAAGTGCACACCCATCAAAAATGGGTAAACACTATTCACTTCCCATGGAAGTGGCATTTGAGAATGCTAGACCACTGCTAACCGATCTCCAATGCCCATTTGTATATAAAATCTTATTTTTAAGTATCAGCAACTTATTTGTGGAGAAAGGGGAGGAAGGAAGAGGAAGAGAGAAAAACCACCGTGTATGCCAAACACAACACACCTTCAACTCAAGGCTGGCCCAAGACACTGAGGGGGGCACCTGCTGGGATGAGCACTGGGTGCTGTATGGAAACCAATTTGACAATAAATTATAGTTAATAGCAATAAAAAAAAAAAAAGCTGGCCCAAGAGAACCACCAGTTTGAAATTTCTGAATGCCAACATCACAACAATTTTAAGATCTAGACTGAAAGATCTACAGTACAGGGACTGTACTTGTCTCATTCATTAGATGTGCCCAACTCCTAGCACTTGTGAGTGCTCCTTACGGTCAAATGGATGCATTTCTGTATGCACTGTCAGATCCATGCTCGTGCTATTTCTTTTGTCTAAAACATCCAGTCTCATTTTATCCACATGGCTAAGTCCTAGTTATCCTTCAAATTGCAGCTTAAATGTCTCCTCTCCCCACCAATCTGGAGAATGACTTTCCTGGTATGTTTACTGTGTATTCCTGGTATGTTAATTGATTCCCTCCCTCAAATTTAAAACACACCCCAATTACAACCCAACACGTTATATTACAGTTATATGATTACGTCTTTGTCTTACACTGTTGCCACAAATCTAGTTGTTCAAGAAAACAGCAAAACTTTCTCACCTTAGAAATTCCCAGCACCATGCACACTTCCTGACATACATGAGGCAAATATGGAGTGACTACAGCTTTTTTATTCTGTGGCATTTCCTTGCAACAAATTTTAAAGAATACAAAATTTTTGTTGTTAAATTCATTTTCTGATATTACATTCCAAAAGATTTGCACCAATTTATAATTAAAGCATTTGAGTGTAATTATTTCCCCACACCCAGATGTTACCATTCCTAAAACTTAAGCTATTTGGGACCTAATGGTATCTTAGAAACTGTTTTAACAGTTTCCTTTGAAAACTTTCTTAGGCACCATGTTCTTGATTTTATCCTTGTTGAATTCCTATGATCACAAGTGCCTAAAACATATATATAAAGTTCCTTGCATAAAAAATAATACATGGGCTCCTGGGCGGCTCAGTCACAGTTAAGCATCGGACTCTTGCTTTCGGCTTAGGTCATGATCTCATGAGTTGTGAGATCGTGCCTCAAGTTGGGCTCTGTGCGGACAGCCACTGACAATGCCAGCCTGCTTGGGATTCTCTCTCTCCTTCGCTCTCTGCCTCTCCCCAACTCGTGCTCTCTCTCTCTCTGAAAATAAGTACACATCTTTAAAAGATAAAATAATACCAACAGGGATATATACGTGTTTTCCTACGTTAAACAGCTCTGGATTATAATTTTTTACAAGTGGTACGGAATGATAGACAAAGGTACTAGAACGGTATAAACAAAACTGTAAGTTCTGATTAAAACTCTAGCAGTATGACTGGGCAAGTTAATGTTTTTCAATTATCTTATCTGTAAAATGGGAACAACTTTACAGATTCTCTACAATGCAACAGTGTATATAAAAGCAATCTAGGGGGGCCCCTGGGTGGCTTGGTTGGTTAAGCATCCGACTTCGGGACTTCGGCTCAGGTCATGATCTCACGGCCCGTGAGTTCGAGCCCCGCGTCGGGCTCTGTGCTGACCGCTCAGAGCCTGCAGCCTGTTTCAGAT